AGAATTAATTCCAAAAGGATCTTGCAAACAACGATGAGCCTCCACCCAAAACTTCATTAAAAGAAACTATCTTTTCAGATTTTTTTTTTAATAGTGATAGCATTCGTTCAAGTATAGATAGCCCTCGACTTAGGGCCACAACTTAGCCCAAAATTTCTGTTGTTAAGTGAGATGTTTGTTAATGAGTACTGCCCCATTTTGCAACCTTTCTTGCCACAGTTGTTATACAAATCGTTGCGGTTGATAAGTTAGTAAGCCGGTTGTTAAGTGAATCTGGCTTCACCATTGACTTTTTTTTGCTCGTCGCAAAAGGGGATCGCATGACTTTGGGACACAGCAGCGGTCACAAATATGAACCAGTTGCGACTTCCGGTTGATGTCGCGGCGAGACAGTCGGGGAAATAGCAGGCTCTGATGAGTCCCGTGAAAACCCCAGCTGCCGAACCGCCGCCGATGGGTCTGTGGACCGAACCTGTCCTGCAGGGACGGGGGAAGAAGAGGGGCGCCTCGGAAGACCGAGAGGAACAGGCAAGTTCCTTGGAGGTTAGAGGGAACTCTCTGTGAATCGGCGGCAGGGGGCAGCAGCCATGGCGGCTGCCACGGAGTTGGGATAACCGGGCAAGAAAAGTGCTGGAGGAAAATGAAGTAAAATGGAGCCTTTTGAAGCCAGGTGAGTGACAACAGCCCAGGCTTGTAACAACGTTTGGAGCTATATTAGTAACTAGAAGACCCCTAGCCTAACAGCAGCTAAGCAACAAAGGGGCTTTGGAAATTTTTTAAACTGTAACTTTAAAGAACAAAGACCCAAGAAACAACTAATTTTGGAACAGAACTAAGAGACTTAATTTAGAGATATGGTAAAAGGACTAAACACTTTAAAAAATTGAATTGGAGTAAGGGGGGGGAAAGAAGATTTGATACTTTTTTAACTAAAAGAAGAAAATTAAGTGGATGGTTATGTAATAAGAAATAAAATGGAGTCTTGCATGACTAATGGGAAATGTGGATTATAGAGAGACACCATCTGGCATAAAGAGGAACTTTGTAACCTCCCTTTGTTATGAGAACTTTGAGCTCTACAGAAAAAAAAAAATTGCTGAACTGTGGAGGAGGATTTTTCTTTCCTGACTGCAAGCAGCTGGACTTTGGTAAAAAGAAAAGGAATCTACAATGGAACTCCTACAGTTGAACAAATAATAATTTGAATGTTGGTACAGGAATAGAAGAAGGATTAAGCGCAGCCTTAAAAGAAAGAGATTTGATACATTATATCTGGAATAAAAATATGAAAAGAGATTTAATTGGATTTATGGAGAATAAAATTAAAAACTTGGAAAATGGAAGGAAATTTATGTTTGCAGACGAGGAAATGAAGATAATGTGATTAAAAATAAATAAAGTAAAGATGATTGTAATAAATTAAAGGGTGGCTTTTTTAGAAATTAAGAATGTTAAATGAAACTAATTAATACATGTAAAGATATGTTTAATGCAAGAACTATGTTTTAATGGTAAAATGTTAAGGTAAAGAATAAGGGTGAATATGATTAATTGAAAATGCTAAAAGGAATTTAAAAATATACTTAAAAATATGTTTTAAGCAAGAACCATGTCTCAAGGTTAAAATGTTATGAGTGCTATGAAAAAGGATAAAGAAAAATATGATTAAATGAAAAGCAATGCGTAGATGGAGGGAAACAACAAAGAAAGGTTTAAGTAGAGATTGTTAAACCAACTATGAACATGCTGTATTTAACAGCCAAAAAGCTATAATATGCTGTATTGAACAGCCAAACAAATGGTCATGCTGGGTATCAGCCAAAACAAACCTGAAGATGCCGTGTAACGGCCAAAAAACAAAATTAATATGCTGTGTTTAACAGCCAAACAAAGAGCATGCTGGGTAATGGCTAAAAAATAAAAATATGCTATATTCAACAGTCAAAACAAAGGGTTATGCTGTGATTAATAGTCAAGAAATAGAAATGATTGGTTTAACATCAAAGATAATAAAAAGAGGTGGGATAATTAAAATGAGGAGGCGTATGTTGAGAGTGATAGTTAAAATAAAAGGCATAAATTAGGTTTAATAATAATTAAATAATTAATGAATGTTTAATCTGTTTAATATAATTGTATGATTTATATTGTTAAAATATCCATCTAAGCAAATGAAAGAGAAAAATGAATTGATAACTGGTTAGGATTTAAGATTTAAGTAACGGTTTTTTGGGGATAATGGCATCATTATATAAATAGATTTGCAGGAAATATTTGTTTAAAATATTGAGTTGTGTTAATTGAAAACAAGATTTGTTAATGATTTGTTTTAATTTGTGACCGGAGGAAAAGCTTCGTTTTGAAAAGATGTGTTTTATGATTTATTTATTTTTTTGTTTAAAAAAAAATAAAAAAAAATAATCTAAAAAAAATGAATCAGTTGCCAAGCATCTGAATTTTGATCACATGATCACAGGGATGCCGCAAAGGTCATAAGTTTGAAACACGGTCATGAGTCACTTTTTTCAGTGCCGTTGTAACTTTGAACAGTCACTAAATGAACTGTTGTAAATTGAGGACTACCTATACTGTAAAATTCACTGCTGGAATAAAACTATAGATATCCAGCCAGCTATTAATACTCTTAAAATCCAAAGCCTATAAGGCTTTACAACGCTTCTATGCTTATGCCTTATTTCAATGAGGTTTATAGCAAAGTGCCTTTCCAAGCTGCTCTATGAACTAATACTGGATGTGGATGATTTGCCTCTCTCTTTCTGGACCTCCCATCCTGCACTTCTAGGAGTGCTTCCCAGCTTTAGGAATCAACTAACGGAAGTGCCAGAAACAGGCTTTCCAATGCATTCACTTTGGAATTAACAGAATGGACAGGGGCAGGACCTGTATAGATACCAGTTTAGGAAAAATAAGCACAGGGGGCTGAGAAGGTTGGAGATTCAGGAAAAAGCAGTGTGGGGATTCAGTGAGCAGCAGAAAGTGGGGGTGCGGCTCGGTATGTCTGTTAGATCCAAGCCCAAATGGACCTCAGCATTCATGAGGTAGGTGTTTGTTCTTGTTGGGGAGCGGGGGTGGGGAGGTCCCTTACATTTGTGTAGAATTTTCCTCTGGAACCAATACTAGGCTTAGTTAGCAAGGATGTTCCCAAGGGATGAGACAGTTGGTTATTCTAACCTTAACCCTTTTATGTACGTAACTTTGGCTGAATAGAGATGGAAAGTAGGACACCAGGTGATCTCTTTGCACCATGAAGGAAATTATTTGGTGGTGGAGGAAGATTTATCTTATATGAAAGTGGAGAGGTTACTGTGAATAAGCAATTTTTTTTATTTCTTTTTAAATCTGAAAAGGCCAAGATCTGTAGAAGCTTCCTCTCCAATGAATTCTGAATGGGATTTCTATTTCCCCATTTACTTTTCTTGGAATTCTACTTTCCATTTTCACCAACCAGGTCAATTTGGAGTGGAGCAAACCCTTCATCATGGCATGTCATTTGGGAGGTTTTGCCTATGATTCTTATACCTGGTCCATAGCCTACCTAGGGAGGGAACCTCTGGGAATTGAGTCCATGTTCTCAATTCCATGGTGATGCAATGATTAGATTGCAGGCTAACTCTGCATTCCACTGCCAGGAGTTCAAGGTTGACTCAGTCTTCCATCCTTCCGAGATCGGTAAAATGAGGACCCAGATTGTTGGGGGCAATTTGCTGACTCTAGATAAATAATTTAGAGAGGGTTGTAAAGCACTGTGAAGAGGTATATAAGTGCTATGGCTAGTGCTATTCTATATGAGACACGTGTTAGTACTTCGGGTGAGGTATTCTCTTCCCATAGCTGCATTTCTATGAAAGAAATGGGTATTTCTTTAAGCAGAAAATTCATCAAACTTTCAGAGGAACAGGTTGGGCTACTGGTAGTAGTGGGTTTCACTTACTTTTGCTTTGCTCGTGCACAGTGCTTCTGTGCATGCGTAGAACCTTCTGCGCATGTGCAGAGCATCCATGATGACGTCCGGGCGGGTGGGCGGAGCCTCCCGCCACCACCACTACTGGTAGAAACCTACCACTGGCTACTGCGATATTCTAGAGCTAGTTCTATGCAACACACATTATATAAAAACAGGCAACAGCCACAACCACATTGTCATGCTCCCCCTTTTTTTAACCACAACCTGCAGATACCCCTTCTCTCGATATTTCTTCCATTTGTTCACTTATTAGGAGGGGAGTGGGGTCAAACTGTATTTTCACAGAAGAGCAATAGCAAGCAAAGTTAAGTTTCCTTCCTTTTAAAAAAAAAATTCTTTTTGTGTGGTATGGAAGGAGCTCCAGCTGTGATCCAGTTGACAAAATTAGAGGAGATCATCCTATCTCTTATAGTATTTTTCTGACTAATAACGTGGTGTGATGCAATGTTGGGATGACCTTGGGGGACAGAAGGAAGAACCGTGAGGTACTATTACCACACTATAAAGCCTTAGTAAGACTAGAATACTGCATCCAGTTTTGGTCACCACGCTATAAAACAGATGTTAAGACTCTGGAAAGAGTGCAGAGAAGAGCAACCAAGATGATTAGGGGACTGGAGGCTAAAACATACAAAGAACGGTTACAGGAACTGGACATGGCTAGTCTAGTGAAGAAAAGGACCAGGAGAGACATGATAGCAGTGTTCCAATATTTGAGGGGCTGTCACAGAGACAAGGGGCTCAAGCTATTTTCCTAAGGACCTGAAGGCCGGATAAGGAATGATGACCTACAAGGTCCTTTCCAAGTCTGTTATTCTATTCTATAGCCACAGACTGGAGAACTGGCATGTAAAAAATATCTCGGTCCCATAGAAGGATGGAGGGCATGGGAAGCATTGCAGAAGGGACCCTCCCTCGTTTTCCAGACAGTAAAAGGAAAGGAGGGGAGGAATACTTTCAGACCTGCAAGATTCTGTGAATGGAACCTTAGGGTAAAGATAAAATTAGTACTCACCATTGTGCCTCTTGTCTGGACTAGCTCAAAGGGCTGTTAGGGAAAGAGGGAGGAGCCTCACTGTGCTTTATATTCCTCTCTTTGTGTGCGTACCTTGGGAGGGTCTCTCTTTAATGGGAATTTAACTGAATACAAGTAATTTGTTAAAGGAGACATGCACAAATCTAGCTGCTGTCTGACGTAATCAATACAGAGATAGATTTGGAATATAAAAGCAGCTTGGGCCCAAATCTGCTTCTCCCTCTGGTTATAAAGCACCAACAGACGGATAAATTTACAATCTGTCACCACGACTTCAACGGAACAATGTGGTTACACTCATTCCATTTAACAAACTTCCCTTTAAAAGCCGTCCAAGGAGATTGCCTAAAACAGAAGGTAGTTTATCACATTAATTCTTTTCCCTATCCATTATTGCATTTACAGGGGAAAAGCAACACTTTTGCAGAACAAAATCATTTCCCCATTATTATTTTTTTTTAAAAAAAACCCATCCTGAAAAGTATTTTTGTGTGTTTGCCACACTCTCAAAGATGAGCATTTTTCCTTTCTTCTATTAAACGTTGCATCCTGTATCTCAGAGGTAGGATACCTCTTACCACTCAGTTGCTATGGTAAGTCTTCATGTTTTATTGAACAGTAAATGGACACAATATCCTAAATGACTCCCATATGGCCTTAACATAAACAGCCTACTTGTTGGGTTTGATTTTTTTTTTCCTGTTGGCTGGTTTTCCCATTCCCTATTTTTTTAAAAAATAAAAATAAATAAAGAATATGGGTTTTGTGCCAAAGAAAACCTTTCTTTTGTTAATTGTCCATCCTTAAGGCTGCGAATGTTTTACAAAAAATATTTTTGAAGAACTGTGAATGGAATCTGCTGAGGTACTATACTAGCCAGACACAAGTCCCACTGAAAAGTAATTACAGAAAAAGAAGGAAAATGTTTGGCACTCCAGAGACAAAAGACAATTGATTATTCATTTATTTGTTTGTTTATTTGTTTTATTTTTTTACTCAGGTGCAAAGAGCTCATTCCAAAACACACACACACACACACACACACACACACAAAGATATTCTGACTGCCTTACTCTGATGAAAACAGATAGTCTGTCTTACTCAGAACTGGGAAGAAAATTCAAAAACTTTTACCCAGTGTCTATCCAGTTTGTGAAAATGCTAATAGTCCTTTTTGAACCATGATGGTTTGACAATCAAGATGTCTCCTTACATTCACTCTGCAAATATGAAATCCCATGCACCGCCTGCCCCACCACATACATCGGACAAACCAACAGACGAATAAGTGCACGCATAGAAGAACACAAGAACTCAGTCAGAAAAGAGGAACCAACTTCTTCCCTGGTCCAACACCTTAAAGCCACAGGACATGATATTGACTTTAAAAAGACCAGAACTATCGCCAAAACTGAACACTTTAACAACAGAATAATCAGAGAAGCCATTGAGATAGAAAAACGCCCACACAGCATGAACAAACGAGACGATACCTCCCGCCTACCAGCCATTTGGAAACCCGCCCTTATTGACAAACGAGTCCCTAACACGACGAATGACACCAGACCCACACTCACGAGTGCCACACCTGATGTCACCACCACACATCCACGCAGAAAGCAGACTCAAACCCACACTGATAATGAGCCACGACCAAGGACCAGAAGCCAGACCGCAGCTGCATCATTAGCCACTTTAAACCCCTCCAATCCATACATGAAGCAGACTGACACCCACCATGAAGAGCTCGCACGGCCACAAACACGAAGCCAAACAACAACAACGCAGCTCACCAGCTCAAATCCCCCTGCAACTCAGACTAAGCTGAGCACAACCAAGCCCCCACCCAAACAGAACACAACCCCAGCCAATCAGAGCACAGCCAAGCCCCTAACCAATCAGAACACACCTCCACCCAATCAGAACACAGCCAAGTTCCCACCCAATCAGCTCACACCTCCACTAGCAGTTAAAAGGAAGAGACAGCTGCGATCTCACATTACACCAGCCTGAAGATGACGAATGAGACTTCGTCGAAACGTCGCCAAGACACTTCCAATTTTACGTGGGAGAAGACCCGAATAACCAAAGACCTACATATATATATATATATATATATATATATATATATATATATATATATAAAAACTTGGTTACGTAGGGAAAACCTGTCTAGAAGAAAAACACACATAAACCCTACGAAGAAGAAGTAAGAAAATTGATACTGTATCTTTACAGGGAGGATACATAAGATATGGGTGTGGCCTACTGATGAAAGCAAACGAGCTAGAAATGGATCTATTTAGGTCTCCCACCTAGCAGTTAGAGCTTGCTAGCTGTTAGAAAAGAAAAAAGCCCAGAACCGAGTGGATGTGATTCTACTGAGCTGGAGCTACAAAAAACCTTGGTTACGTAGGGAAAACCTGGCTAGAAGAAACACACACACACACACACACACACACACACATACACACACACACACACACACACACACACATATATATATATATATGGAAGATAATATTTACCTTAGGCTTTCTTGTTAGCACTGGACTGTTATACAAACATGACCCTGGTGTTTTTTCCCCCTTCCACATCCTTATGATTGTGCCTTCATTTTATCCCCAGTCCTTGAGCGAGACAGCGCTCCTTAGATGCAACCTAAAGAAAGGTAAAATAGGGAATTGCAGGGATATGTAACAGGCAGTAGAGCAAAGGTGTGAACCAACATCAGAAAGTTTCATGGCAGCTCAGAGGTGAAGCACTTCAATAGCTGACTACGAATAGCCTTGAGTGGAGTCCTCACTCTTCTCTGAGCTTGATTTTTATTTTCAGAGGTTCCATTACACAACTAGGTAACATCATTGGTACCAGAATGGGATGAGAATGAGACTGGCCATCAATGTGTGGAAGTACTGATCCCAAAGTGCACCAGGAGATAATGGTGAAGTATAAAGATTGGTAGAGATACTGCTAAAATCATGGGATATTCAATGGTTCATTAATGTAGGGCAGAATTAGTATCAGGTAGAGCAGACCACGAGTTGGCTCTACAGGAAAGCTAAAACTATTCTAATTGAGGGTAGCTATAATAACAAACTCCTGAAAGTGTGGTTGTTCTGTGCTTTTTTCCCCTTCTTATGCTCATATAAATTAAGGAGGTGTCTGTCTGAGCCTCTTCTGCAAACTGATTTTGAAGAAAAAGTTTTATAATACTGCTAACTTCTTCGGTCTATAGAGAATCTTCTCCAGAAAGTTCAGATTCAGTAACCCTACAAAACCACACCATCCCTAACTTAAATGTCCTCTAAGAATTGGATCTCAACTATCAAAACTCCTATTAATTGTGGTCATTTCCCCCTAGCTCAGAAAGATTGGTTTACTGTGATATAGTTCCAATTATGTTTTAATGTCCCTACTCCAGAGAAGATTGAACATAAGGAAAAGGCCATATATCTTGAATGCTACATACTGAGTGATCCAAGCTGGACCTCAGAAATTTACCATGATGCCTTCTCAGACTTGTATACAAAAATACTCATCCGAATTCTGGATGTTAATGGATATATGCATCTCTCTCTCTCCCTCCCTCCCTCCCTCCCTCCCTCCCTCCCTCTCTCTCTCTCTCCCTCTCCCCCTCCCTCCCTCTCTCTCTCTCTCACACACACACACACACACACATACGGAATGTCAAGTAAAAGAAAGGAGAAATAACAATCATGAATCTCCCTTTTTAATACATTTTTCCCCTTGGAGTTCTGTTAGACATCTTCTGTTAGACAAATGTCTCTCCAACATCTTGTCTCTTATCTAGGAGGTCTACTTCACATACAACATTTCCCCAACTTAAAAAGATGGTCTAGTTTGAAGTGTAACTGGGATCGTTGCTGCCTCTAAGAAGAAATGCTTAAATGCTTAAAAGACTTATTGCACTCCATGGACATCTGTTAACTGCTTTTCCTAAAGCCAGCTCGCTATATCTACAGCTGGTCTCAAGCTGCTATGGTTAAGGTAAGTGTCACAAACACAACAATTTTTAAAAGGCATTGTATTCATTCCCCTAAACCTTCAGTTTAGTTGTATGAATGAGGAATTGCTTAGTGTACCCAAGAAAAGGATTATATAAATTTATTTTACATAACCTGGGTTACACAACCAGCTGTGCAAGATATCCCTTTGTAGAACTGAGGATATTCCAATAAACCTCCCTCCCTTCCTCCCTCCCTCCCTTCCTGTTCCATCTTCACTACTATCATTCCCAGTAAACTGGTCCATGAATCACATTATCGTAGGTAGAGAATACACAAGCACAAAGTGCCTGTTTGTTTATTTGTTTGTTTGTTTGTTTGTTTGTTTGTTTATAGAATTTGCATCCCCTTTTGGTACTAAAAAGGGTCTAAGAAGTGAATAAAATATCTCTTGCTTTTTGTTGCATAAATCTCTAGAGTTCATAATAGTATAATGGAGAAGGATCATATCAGAAATTCATTTATAAAGGTAAAACATATATACAATATATAACTTCTTCAAGGTGAGGTCTATAGCTGCCTTGGTGACTTTTCTGGGGGTGGATTCAACAGAGCAGTTTCCCTATTTGTCCTGATTTCCCATGAACTATCTTTTGAATACAGCTCATTTACTGCCACTTTTTCCAGCCAGCATGGAATATATCAGATAATCGTTCTATGGGCTATTTAATCTCCGAGCTGTAATTTCAACTAATATGTGGGTTTTCAGCTAGATCTCAGGCATTAAACAATTATAGCTCTCCTCTATAAAGACTCAGGCATGTAGAAGTACATGTACAACCATAGAACTCCTCAAACTCGCGACCCATGGGCTGGATGCATCATGCGCTGGCCACGCCCACGCCCGGTTTAGCGAAGGGGAAAAGGTCACATGACGCCGCCATGACGCTGCGAGTTTGACACCCCTGAAATAGAACCATGGCTTCCTCCTTTAGCCTCTATTACTAAGAAATGAAGGGAAGAACTGAAACCAAGTTACAAGTTGTATTTGAATGTGGTTACAATGAGGCAGGACTGGGAACTCTGATTGGCTAC